AATTGAAGGTCATGTTTGATGTTGTATGCTTGTAAACAAGTGCAACAAGGTAAGTTGTATGTTGATAGGTGAAAGCATGTTAGTGTGTTTAATTACGCTTATGAACTCATCATTATTGATTGTGTTTGTATGTTTGTTTGGCGTTATCTTTAATTTGGCCCTATGATGACCCATTTTTAGTAGAGAGTAGTGGGAACAAGTAGAGATAAGTTTTTCAGGTGATGAAGCATATTCATAATGGGCATGAGTGAAGAGTGAATCCTGCTAGTTTTCATAAGTTTATGATGTGTTTATTGCTTTGATTATTTTATTATATTATGCTTGTGAGACTAAAACAAAGGTTTTCAAGTTGGTTTGGTTAAATAAGGGCCTACAATGGTTTCAAGTTGTAGGTTGACTTCGTTTTACTTTAGTTTGACTTTACTTTTGTTAGGTTGACTTTTTAAGTTTAATTGCTTTGAATGTTTATAATGATAGTCTTCCGTTGTGTGTCTTTGATAGTTACCTTAGTCATTGTCACGGTGGCGGTAATCTCTTAGATTTTCCTATTTTAAGTTTTAAAAAGAGCAAAACAAGTATTTTAAAGGAAATGAATTTCTAGGGTGTTACAGAGAGAGTGGTTATGCTAAAGATTTTTTTTTTTTAATAAAAAAATCTAACCATAGTTAATTTTATTTACCATTTAATGAAATAAGGTTATAAGTAAGATAGAATTTTTAAATAGGGTCATTTAGTATCATCTATTTTCAAGAGGGTTACCATGTATGCGTAGTAAAAGTTGAGGATGACCATTGAGGATTTTCCATTTTTTTAAAACAGATTACTAGACTTATTTTGCTTAAAAGAAGTCATAATAAGAAGAAAAAGAAAATTCAATTTAACATAGCCTTAGCCACAAACCTTTGTCTTTCACTCTACGACATGTTGGATCCAGGGCACACTTTTTTTAATTCTTTAACTTGAGGCTTTTTTGTGCTTTATCTTTTCTTCTATTCCACACTTTCACCTTCACACCCCCAGCTTTTCTCCAAATCTTTGTTATATATAAACTCTCTCTCTCTCTCTCTCTCTCTCTCTCTCTCTCTCTCTCTCTCTCTCTCTCTCTCTCTCTCTCTGATTCACAAATACTCGTTCAATGTTACCTTAGAAGATTAGCAAAAAAAACTCATGCCATATTAGTCAACATGCATTAACAAAATTATGTAATCTTTTGCTTGTTTAATGGAAAAATGTGCCTTTTAAAGGGTCCAAGGCTAGGCCAATCACCATTCCAATATTGAAATTAGCAAACAAATCCTAACTTATTCTGATACCATGTCATAAGAAACAACCTTATTCAAATCCCAACTTTGCTTAGGGAAAAATGTTGTGATTTCATCCATATTGATTGTACTGCTTAATAACTTAGGGTCAGAGCAGTGTCAAAAATCAACATATAACTTGTTAGTAATTTTATGTATTGTTTGGCAATTTTATATTCAAATGAACAGCTGGAATATGGAGGGAGATCATAGTTTGCCATGAAACATCGTTAGGACCTAATTTACCAAATAAATGCAATGTTTAGCTCTAAAAAAACATATTTATCCCCATCTTAATAGTAATGGTCATGCATTTATTTATTTTTTATTTTTTTTTGACAAGACGGGCTAAGAAGAAAAAAACAACAAAACCAGGAAAAAACTAGAAGGACCACGTTAACGAACGACGATGACGAGCCTGGATTGACAACCAATGAGCCGGAGCCACCCATTGACGAGGAACCTTCCGGAGAGCACAGGTAGAAAACCGAGTTATAAAGTCCCTGGTGTGTTGAAGCAACCATAAGCATGAAATATCCTGACGTCCCTTGTTTTGAAGGAAAGAAAACAAGGTTGAACAGTCTGTGTAAAACAACAGGCGCCTGAACCCCTGACGATCCGCAGTTTTAAGAGCCCACAAACATGCCTGTAACTCAGACTAAAGAGCCGAAGACGACAGGAAAGCTCTAGAGCCGCCACCCAGCACCATGTCAGAGTCAGAATATCTAAAAATCCAACCGGCTCCTGCATAATGATCATGAGAATTATAAGCACCATCGAACACAAGGAAAATATCGTCCGAGGACCCTGAAGAACCTTGAAGAAAACAGGACAAAGTTGAAGGTATGTGTCTAGTATAAGAGCCAATACTAGAGGAATGAGCAGAAGCCTTAAAATCCTCAAGCCGCAAAACTTCGAGAAACCCAGTCCTGCATAAGATGGAGGACCAAACCAGGAGAAATAACAGCCTGGTGGAAAACCTTGTGATTACTAGCAATCCAAATAGCCATAAGAAAGAGACTAAACTGGCCAAAATTTCCCATGACTTAGTTCTACGTAAATCCAAAACCAACTCCACAAACCATGTAGAGAAGTGAATGTCCCTACGCACGACAAGAGACGAAACATGTGGAGCAGTAATCCAGACACTGGAAACAAAGGGGCAATCGCGAAAAAGATGGTCAGTAGACTTGTGATTTCCAAGACAGAGAACATAAGTCGAATCCACTGGGACCCCTCGCATTTGCAGAATACCATTGAGAGGCAACGCGTTGTGAAGAAGCTTCCAACAAAAACATTGCAGCTTTGGCAGAAGCGGTAAACCCTAGAACACCTTCCACCATGAAGAAGGGAAGGAAGAAACGCCATTAAAGTAGTCAAGACGGCTTAACAACATGGCATAGGCTGATTTTGTAGAAAAATTCCCGTCTTTTGAAAATTTCCAGTAAACGAAATCATCCATCTGCCTATTCGGGCGCTCTGAAGCCAAAATACGGCCGGCTGTTAAAGAATCAAACAGCTGATGAACTAAAGATGTGTCCCACGCGTAAGAACACGGATTGATGATAGAAGAAACATGAGACGGAAGAGGCGTCTCACTATTATCACGAAACGAGATTGGTTCCCCAGGAACCCAAGAGTCTTGAAGGATGCGAACCTGAGAGCCTGAAACAACCTGGAGCTACACCATCAGATAAGACCGACAACCCTTGCAGAAGGCCTTAACACCCCCAGGAGGATCCAAGAATCCTTATTGTCTGAAGAAGATGAAGAGAAGGATACCTAGCCGATAAAAGCCTGGAAATCAGTAGCTGAGGGTAATGATGAATACGCCAACACTGACGAGCCAACAGAACCGAGTTAAACAAACTCAGCCGACGAATGCCTAGTCCTCCCAAACCTTTTGGAAGATGCAGAAGGAAATTTGACCGTAAGGCTAACCCCCGAGAATGAGGATCCGACTTCCACCAGAAACGAGTCAAAAGACTATCCACCTTAGAGCAAATCGAAGAGGGAACCTTAAAAACGGAGAAGATATGATTAAAAGAAGCAACCATAACCGAATTGATGATAACCAGCTTCACTGCAGAGGAAAGACCCAGAGAGGCAAAAGCTGATTAGGCGTTGAACCACCTTATTAATAAGGAAACTAAAATCCGCAACCTAGCTACGGCCCAACTCCACTGGTAAACCTAAGTATGAACCCATAGTAGGCTTACACTGAAGTTTCAAACTGTGGGCGAGAAAATCTCGATAGCCCGTCGGAGTATTAGGACTGAATTTAACAAACGATTTCTCCGATAATAAATCTGTAAGATTCTCACAAGCATCAGGGGTAACTTGCAAAAATAATAAAGAATCATCATCGAAGAAAAGGTGAGAAATCGCGGGAGCACCACGAGAAATGCAAATGAGGCAACCAAGAAAACAAGTGCAAAAACATTACTCTCCTGAGTAATATAATTTAACTACCATATTGGTAATTCAAATTTCTACAATTTATACTTATATAGCTATCTTTGGTAGTAGATCCCTTCACTTCGTACACTGATTTATTAAAACCCGAAAAATCTCTCCATACCAAAATGCCCCTTTCAAACAGCCTAATCCAAAAAATTGAATCATCAGTATTCTGGGAACTGGGGAGCTGGGTAATGAAATCATCAGTACTCTGTTGCATTTAAAAACAATTGGCAATAAGATAAAGGAAGTCAATATCATAAGTTAAATTGCCACAATGTTAAAGATTATCTTCCTTATTAACTTCTTATGAATTGCATCCATCATCTTAAAAATTACAGAAAGATCATTACAAAATACAGATTTACAGTTAATAGCCGTGATAAGAATGAGCTTCAGATGCCTTTGCTTTAATGCCTGTAAAATTCTCAGTACAACAAAGAATGCAACTACTGCTCCATTTGGTAATCATTTCAATGCTAAATATTCTAATAGCCCTATAACTTCGATCAATCACAGGTTGGAAAAATGATTTATTGTCCAGCCTCAAGAGCTCAACCAGTAGTACCCTGAAGACATCCGCTTCCATATACAATGGTTTCAAATGCTAATATCTGGCATCGGCATCTTCCAATAGTTCCATGAATTATAATCTTCCTGTACAGTCATACCAGATAAATTGTAAGAAATTGGTAATTTAATACGGCCAATTCTTCTATCAGAAAATCAGTTTGACAGGTAAATATCTCATAATTACCTGCTCAACCATTGATGTCGGTGGGAACATATCATGTACTAGAGTATGCAACGAAGTATATGACTTCACATCAATCCGATGGTTAATTGCCACCTCACCCTATCAAATTCAGTTGATATTAGCCTAAGAATGATCATTGCTCCTGACAATTTTAAATTACAAGCATATATATATTAAAGAAGAGAGTCAAGAGACTACCTTTGGGTTGATAATAAAGATTTTGCCCTTCGGAATACCAAGCTTTCTATAAGTAAGCTCATCGGTATCTCGGTTTCCAAATCCCGCATAGAATGGATTGTAATCAGGTGGAAACAAAGCCTTGATATCCTGCAGGTCAAAAATTATGAGAATACATCACCATGATAAGTGACTTCCTAACATTAAATTATAGGGATTTCCATCAATGAAAATTATTAAGATTTTACCTCCAAACAAGCAATCTTGAACTCATGAGGAGCTCTTCGGATTACTGCAATAACCAAGTAAAGATATGTAAAATCATAAAGAAAAATCCATTTTCCCTATTCTGAATGAAATGATGTACAGGAATACAGTCAGGGTTCTAATACAACCTCCACTTGAGTAAGAGTACATCACCTTTACAGAGTACATTGTATATGTATTACTCCTAAATGGTAGGCTTATTATTCATAATTAGTATTTCATGAACCCCGAACTGTATATGATTCTTGGTATCACTAATCTTCACAAGGACAGGAATTTCTATTCAATTCTGGTATTGTGAACCAATACCATGTCAGTAATGTAACCAGAGTACAGGTGACGACCATACAAGGCAGCAATCCATTGTTGAAGAGCCTAGAATTTCAATACTATTCCAGCAAACGGAATCCCTGTATCTCTGTTAAGATTAGTGGTATGAAGTAAAAAGGGCACATTCGCGGAATTAATGAATGTGCCAACCCATTACAACGAAGTTTATAGGGCTGTAACTCTGTCAGGTAGAGCACCTTGTTTACACGCGGACCAAAGTTTTTCAGGGGAGTTCATCATGCAATCAAAAGAGTTGATCAATTTGATAAACAAAGTCTAACTCTGAATTAACTGAAATTAAAAAGAGAGCAAAAGCCTGACATTAAGTACTAGTTAGATTCGATTCAAAGTGTCCATTTGTAACCAAATAGAGCCCTAATTTACCCAGCTTAATAAATAGTCCTTTAAACTTTGTAAGTCTTTGACAAGCCCAGAAAAGCCCCTGTATCTACTCCTACTTTTCTATATATTTGAGTATATCTCAGAATTTGGTGTTTATTTGGTTATTAAACTCATGAGGAGCTCTTCGGATTACTGTTAGGCAACTGATTTGAACCTCAATCCTTTTCATGTAACCTAGAGGAAACAAGCTCATATGTCTACCTGGATGTGAAAACCCTACAAAGTAAAGCTTAAGGCAGGAAATTCTGGGTTCATTATTAAGTTTAACATAAAACCAACATAAGACTGAAAACAGACTGCTTTTTAAAACGGTTACACTACGAGGGCCAACATGAGAGATGCAAAAGGACATAAACAGACAGTGATGCATTATAAAGCCCTAAGGATCCCGGCTATGTTATTTCCCAAGTTTCTTTACACCTCTTCTCCAGGCTCATCCCAATTCTAATTTTATTTGGTGAATAGGTCAACAGAACAGATTTTCCAAGATAAACTCACATTATAGCTTAAGAAAGCTAGATCACAAGTATGTCCCATTCAAATCTACACATTTGCGCAGAACATGCTAAATCACAAAGGGGTTGAAACTTATGTGTTACCAACACGAGAACAAATGCCATTTTTCACTATAAAATGTATTTGAATCTATAGAAAAATAGAAACTACAAGAAACCATGCTACATTATACCATGCAGCAGATATTGTAGTCTTTCAACCTATTAAGAATGGGCCTAACCAGCTTAATGTTCACAAAAAATCACGTCACTAATCAAATTGTTAACTGAGGCCAAAAACCACTCAACCATCATAATATCATCTCGCTCCATCAATAACACAGTTCAATTGTTAACTCTAATAAGTCTCTGACTCAGGTCTCAGTTTCATGGAAAGCACTCTAGATCCCAATTCAACTCTATCCATTTAATAAGTAATTATATTTCTTCAAATCACAAGCACAAAATCACAAGATTTTCTGACTTCTAGAGTTTTAACTCCCACGTACATAACCAATACCATAATTGTACCAGCATCAATCCCATAGATGTTCACCCATTCCAATGAAGATCCCTTTCCCTCATGATTGGTGAAAATATTCAGCAGCCACAAAATGAAACCATACTGCAAGAATTAAGACAGGTTAATAAAAGCATAAGTACCAAACAGAAAGTTTACCCTAGTCAATTTTTCTATCATAAAATACATCCATAAATCCCATTCATTTAGCAAATATAGTCAACTAACAACCAAGGATTTGAAGAGGATTTCATATCCATATTTTATTGGCTAGACACATTGCATTTAGAGCTTAAGGAAGAACAAGCATTGCATCGCAAAAAACTGTATCTAGTTTGGTACTGTATCATAGTAGGTGTAACAAATTATATATGAACAGAAGAAAGCAAAACAGTAGCCCTTCAAATGGAACTATACGAGTAAAAGCCCCTAATAGGAGGCAAACAATCAATTTCTGCCAAGAGACTTCAGTAGCTCGTAAAAAGAAGAATAAAATTAAAGGATCAGTAAATGAACCTCCGAAAAACTATTCTAGAAAAGAACTTTAGCTTCACTGTTTATACCAATTTATCAAACCCATAGGAATGTACACAGTAGTTAAAATAGCATCAACAAAAATTTGCAGAAGCCCCAACCTTAGCTAGAAGACATACATTTTCCCTAAATAATGCATTCCTACCTCTAGATGACATTTTGTAAAAACATTCCTTCTCCACACATATATCAAATCTCAATGAACAATTGTCCCTATGCCTTTATTCATCAACAAGAGAGGATCAACTGTGAGAAGCTAAAGCTTATAAACTCATCAGCCCACAAGAAACTTCATGTTCCTTTATTAAAGGAAAATTTTCCTCCATTCTCATACCAGCCAGATTATAGGAATAGACAGTTAGTAGGTCATCAAATAAATAACAGAGGTAAATAACGTCTCACACAAGGTAAACCTAAGGCCTCACTTTACCTTCCACTTTGTCAAGTTATCACAAAGGTCATTTAAATTTTTAAATAAACACACAGATTGCGTAGTTGTTCACAGATCCGATTGGAAATTTTTTAGCCTCAATCAATGGGACCAACAAAAAGCAAAGCCCATTTATACTCTAATACTTGACATTGAAACATTGATACAGCACATAAACACATCATTTTGGCCAATATCATGCAAAATTTCATTAAATGACCATGTTTAACACTTCTAGCCGAGTCAGAGTAACATAGAAGCCCATAGTAACCAAATAATTAAGCTTCCAAATGGTTGAAGAAAGTTGAATTTTGGATAATAAGCCGTAATTGACATGAACTTGTCCTTACCAGCATGGAACAAAATGCATTCCTAAGGCACCTGGAGAATTCAAAATTTAGTGCTCGGTAGACCAATACAAATAAGCTTGCTAAAATGTTGTGGGCTCTATGTTTCAAGGACCAGTAGACTTCAATAAAACTACTACTATTAAATTGAAAAACATTACATCTCCCCTGTGCTTCTGAAAAAGCCCTCGGTATAAGGAATCTAAGGATATAATAACAAGATTTCAGGGGTTGGGCATCCTCAATGAAATTTGGGAGAATCTCAAATGAAGATTCTTATAACATCAGGAACCAGTATTGAAAACTTCATCACTAAACAGTAAACACTGGATTTTGGTACCTGGCAAAACCTAGACACTAAGAACATGCTAATCAATTAGGTATTACCTGTTTACCACGGTCCTTAATAATATATTATCCTAAATTACTTGGAATAGGACATGGGAAGGGCAAAGTTCAACACTTTGTTTTGGGCCAACGTCATGGAAATTTTTCACAAAATAACCTAGTTGGACACTTAGATACATACCCATGTCCAACATAGATATTAACCAAATCATCATTGATTATCAATTCTACAATAAGTATGAGCAGGTAAGTTCTCCAGGGTCTATGCAGAATTAATAAACTAGAGAATAATTAAGAGTGGCTGCCTATGTTACTTGGATTTTATTATCACTCACACTTGGATAGGACACTTCAACACTACATTTTGGCCAAAACCATGGAAAATCATCACAAAAACACGAGTTAGATACTTGGACAAGTACCCGATAACCAGCTTGAGTATCTGATCCTTTGTAACATAGGTTGCTGCAGACTGCAGTAGCTACCTAAGGCTAAAGTATAGCATAATGCCTCTGCTGCATTGCTGTAATGTGAATTGATTTACAGTATTTGAATGTGGCGTAACATATGGGTGTTTAACAGAGGGGAGATAGATTTTTTGATGTGACAAGTAAGAAGATAGTCAATGAGTGGTAGATGGAACATCTTCCAGAATGATAAACTGAGTGCAATGAATTAAGCTGGTACCTCTTAAGTCCCTAACTGTTGGAGACCTGAGACTATGCCATGACTTCCTGTCTTAGCTTAGGATTCATTCTTATTTCATAATTTGGATGACTTGGATAGTTGGATCTGGGTCATCCACTTGTTACAGTGGACAATAAATCATAATTCAAAACCTAATTGTTTTGATAGTCAATGAGTGGTAGATGGAACATCTTCCAGAATGATAAACTGAGTGCGATTAATTAAGCTGGTACCTCTAAGTCCCTAACTGTTGGAGACCTGAGACTATGCTCTGAATTCCTGTCTTAGTTTAGGATTCATTCTTATTTCATAATTTGGATGACTTGGATCTGGGTCATCCACTTGTTACAGTGGACAATAAATCATAATTCAAAACCTAATTGCTTTGATGTTCAATTGGAAACCAGGAAAAATAATTTCCCCAAAAGAATGCCTTAAAACTCACATGCTTATAAATTACGATACTAAAGACTAAATTTCATTTCATTATGCAATATATATCATGTATTCCTTCTGTCTACCTTTTTTTCCCTATTCTAATTTGGTTACTTTTTTTTAATATTTGGAAGGGTAGAATCAATGAGAGACAATTGGTGGGACCACGTGTAGTGAATGTAATAGTAAAGTTCCCTCTTGGTCATGTTTAGTATGGAGCAATATTTTGTGGACGTCCACAAATGAAGATGGTGCAAACAAAAGCGGCTGAGGAAAGCGACCTTTAGATTCTCAACTCAGAATAAAAATAAAAAATAAAAAAAAAAACAGGCAAAGATACTGCGCAGGCCGCAAAGTAGTCCAAAATTATCCATATATAGCAATTCTGACTAAGCTATTCAAAATCTAGTAAAACGAGAGAAGCATAAACCATTTAGTATGAACAATTGAAGCATTACTTACCTTCACGAAATAATGATGGAAATAATCCATTCGGTGAGATAACAACAGGTCCATTTGGCAGTGTCTTTCCATCCTGTAAGTAATAAGAACTTTAAAGTAAGATTGCAAAGGTCTATATGCACTGATTTTATTACAACTAATATTTACAAGAGAACAGAAGCGAGGACTATCAAAGCCACTTTGAGGTAACTAATAGCTTATGCAGATAGAGAATGAAAATCAAGAGAGAAGACTCATGATGACAGAGATCAAAAGTTACGAGCCTTCCTATGCATCACTACTTAAAAATATTAAAATAAAATAAAGGGGTTTTTTTTTTTGGTTGGGGGGGGGACAAAAATAGTAATATCACCAAATTTAAGAGGGAAATAAATACCTGTTTTAGGTTGAACAAAAAGCTTTTAGTTAAATATGCCTGGACTATTGCACGTGCACTGAGAAAGAGTAGCTGATATCCATTCTCCTGTTACACATGGAAAGTCATTCCACATATATTCCATAAAGAGAGACAACGTGAAAACACAAAAAAAAAAAAAAAATTAAATAAATAAATGAATAAATATATAAATTAAAATTAAAAAAAAAAAAAATGTAGTTAACAAATATTACCTTAATGGCGGAAAACAAACGAGCTACACCTGATTGCGACCAGTCCTTTCCAACCAGAGGCATAAACTGACCAAGAACATCAGATCTGAAATAGGGATCAGATATCAGGATCTCTTACTATTAAATTGAACCATTGGATAAGTAGCAACTAAAAAAATTGAATAAAATAAATTGCTTATGGATAGGCTAGTCCAAAATATCCAAAAGGTGATTAAAATTCCAACAAGGAAAAAAAAATACATCTGCAGCTGATTCAATCAAGTAATCAGCCACAAAAAGTGTTACAAGACAAAAATAGTCACATATTATAGTGAGATGCTCCAGACCAGATTTTGAAACTAAAAGACAAAATATCATGCTAACACCAAAATGAAGAGTTACAAATAAGAGAATTTAGTCCCCAACCCCCCCCCCCCCCTCCTCTAAAAGCCCTGGTGAATTAGCCAAAGCCTGCTATGAATATTGAACTACAAGTGACAACAAATCAAGTTAAAAATTATGAATAACTAAAAATGGGGAGCGGAACCACACCATCTTTCTTTAGCCAAAGTATATTTTAAGTGTGCCTGCAGAATTTGACTTTTTAGTTTTGCTTGTATGACTTGTACCTATGACACCTCTGAAGTTATCTCAGACTTAACATCCCTGACTACTAGGGATTCACAAAGGAAAAACATCCCTGATAGTGAGATTACTATAAAACAAATGTATATAACCAATTGTTTAAGATGTTTAATTATTATCCAGTCACATACTTTGTGATATACTAAACACATCTTTGTTTAGAGAGGGAAAAAAAAATCAATTTGGTAAGTAATAACAAATACTTAGATTCAACCATCTCCTGACTTCAATGTTGTGGTAATTATATCTCTCCCTTTACCCAGTTTTCAAGAAAGAATAAGAAAGATCACCAAGAACCACGACGGATTCGTTTTCAGCCTATCCCAAAATGTTTAAAGGGCTCAGCTTCTTCACTTGAAAGACCAAGAAACATAGCAAATTGGTTCCCCAGGTAAAAGTGAAGGACGAGTATAAGAGGCCTTATGTGGTCCAGTTCTACATTCTAACTACCATTGAAAATAAGTTTTATGACTCAGTATATATAATTGAACAGTAAATTATCATCATATTTCCTCTCAAGAGATGAACTGCCAAAAGAGTAAAATGTTATTCTATATCCAAATACTCTAAGCCTATGTTCAGAATATTATAGCAAAGATTTCAAAGATGATTTGATACCAAATCAGATCTTTTTATTTGCGTTTAGTCATCACTAAACATCTTTAAATCTGTAATTAAAAAATTATGAAAATTTCATGTTTGGAAAGTACAAATTAATAGTCTTGGAGTCCCATAAGAAGCATCTCACATTTGACAAAAAATAAAAATAAAATATTCACTTTAGTATTGTCATTCAGATTATAGCATATGCAGTAGACTTTAGTAATATATTACACACTATTTTGAACATAGTACATTGCACGATGACCTTAAAGAAGAGGATATGTAACAATCTATAATGGCTGTCATGATTTTCTCAAAACATGTAAAAAGGTAGCTTTTGCAGAACAAATACCTGATAATCTGATATAAAGTGTCTATCTAATAGGACGGTATTGATTTGATTCCATGGTTTGAATTTTCTTAAGTATTTATATATCATGGGCACGATCACCAGTGCAACAACTATCGCTATTTGCACTATCCCTATGTCATGGAAGAGGCACCTCACCGTAGTTGCCTCGCACTTCATGACCATAGCAGTATGAGCCGGAAAAAAAATAAAAAAGAAACAATACTCTTCTTCATCATTGAGTAGTTAAGGATTCTGCAAATTATTTTTTGACTTTTTACTTTAATGAACAACTTTTTATTTTTACTTAGTGAAGGAAACTCTAATAACATTATAAAGACTAAAAAGAGAGCGGTGGTGGTCATTTGAAAATGATGGCTTTCATGTATTGGCACCACATGAATGATTTGGGGGGATGGTGACAGTCAAATGGGTTTGTGCGCAGGAAGGGGTTGAGCAAGGGTGGGAACCTGGGTTCGTGATTAAGTGATATGAGATGGGATAGGAAAGAAGAAAGGGAAAGAAAGAATAAAAATAAAGGAATTACTTCCCTAACAAACATCAAGTCACATGGGACTACATTGTGAATGGCCTAAATGCACTATTTATAATTGGATTATTTTGACATAACTCAAAGGACGAGAAGAAACACAACAATTGAAATAATTCCTACATATTATTCCTAGATACATTGTTCTTACCCCACCCTATAAAAGATAGGAAAGCAGAAAAGGCAAAGGGTTAGACATATGGCGCATGTGAGACACCCTGTTTTGTTTGGAACCTTCGTGGATCGGCTTCTTCAATCACATCTCATTGAGGAAACTAAATATACAGAATCAGCACGCCCACAACAGATTCCAATTTCTACATTGAGTGGACATTGTGACAAACCCAAAAGGCCACAATAATTTTATGGGCCAATGTGCACTTTTGATGAGAGACCTTGATAAGATTCACTAACCAACCATGACTCAAGGGATAAGTTATATATGGAACCATAACATCGTCGGGAACTACTCAACCAAACAGCGTGACTTTGGAAGCTTCCATCAGATGTAAAGATCCCATCAGATCAAACCACACAAAGTCATATTCACTCCTGGTCCTACTTCATGCTATGTAAAGTGAGTGACTGGAGCTGTGCATGGAACCCATTCTTCATACATAGCAGGCATAAACCTTATTGTTCATTTAACAGTCGATCTTACAAACCTTATTATTAATCAAGAAATATATGACTAGGCTGTAAATGTTTTTGATGACTATGGTATTGCATGTACCCAAAAACACCAATGAGTATGCCTACCCATGTATGCGATACTGATTTAATTATATTAGTATGCTTTAACTATTTCACAATAGATTCAACATCTCTCGGAATTGCGAAATGTAACCCAGCTCACAGTTTTACATTCTGAATATTTTGGGGCATGAAATGTTTAAGATTGATATATCTTAATTCCCAGATTTCCATTGGAAAAGAATGAAGAACAAAATCTTAATTTCTTAAACAAACTGTGACTGAAAATAAAATCCATGACTAAAGGAAGATTTACCTAGTAATTGTTCCATCCACATCAGATATAACAATCCGTGCATTCCACTTCCACAAATATATATGTGCCTCAACCTAATCAATAAGAAATAACATAAAAAATATATGAAACTGGAGGTCCAACTAAATCTCAAAAATAACGGAAACAAATCAAAGATGGCAAACCTGTTGTAATCCTAAAACCCTGGTACTAAAACTGAAAGTAATGTCGTTTTGACCTTCTTTCAGATTCAAAGATGATATCTGCTCATTAGTTGGGATGTTAGTCCTAAGAATTTTCTTGTGAACAGACTTTAAACTACTTTCTGATAATGGAGTTCCACTCTGAGATATAGGAGTTTGGTCAATGGATGGGCTCCTTGAAACAGATTCAGAATCAACAAAAACATCCTCCGAGGCAGTACTAGTAGAACGTTCAAGTGTCTTCACCCTCCTGAATGGATTTGGCCATAGCCTCCATCTGCGTCCAGAAGCACTTCCAGAATCATGAACCACTATGTCTGAAGCAACTTCTTGTTCAACTGGTATTGCATCTTTGAGCTCGATGAAAAAATTTGAACCAAAAGCAGCCAGTCCTAAGATAATAGCAGCAGCTTGATCCCATGGTATGTATTTCCCTTTATATCTGATGACAAGGTTTTCATTCTTCATTACTGATGATGCTATATTCCTAAACTCTTCCTCAGATAAGCGATGAGCACTAAAAGCTTCATCAGCTGCACTTAATCCCATTCCTGGACGAAGGAGATGGCGACAAAGAGAGATCTCTAAGGCTGTAAGCAACAAGGACACGCCAATCAGTCCTCTCAACTAATCTTGGTTCATTAAGTACATATATATATGAACAAAAGTATGAAATGTTTAATAATGGGCTGAGGAAATATTGGCTCTGTTACAAAATGATTGTTTACATAATTAACAGATTCATAATATGAATCTGTAATACAGCCATATATTCCTCAGCACATCGTTGTTAAATGGGGGCTATTTTTCCATACTATGTACTTCCACGGTATTCACAATATTGTTTAGCCTCTAAGGTTTCGACATTGCAATAGATAGAAAGCTAGCTCCCATTCAACAATGAAGCCCTAAGATATATTTGGCGTTTATATTATTTACAGATTCACAACATGAATTTCCACCACATTCCATATAATGAACACATTAAATTAATTAGAAGCTCTTCCCTCAGCGGTTAATTTGATACTCTTTATCTTTCTTGTGAATGGTTGTATATCAATTGGAACATTATCATTAAAGACTAAGGGAGCAGTCTATACTAGAGCGGTGGAGCCAAAGGCAGCAAGGGTCTGAAGTCCAGATTGGCAACATAAGGAGTGAAAGACAACACATTAATTATAACTAATCAAGTAGAGAGGCTTTGGAGATATTGCACACTTTCGCAACAAAATTAATGTACTTGCACAGAATCACAGGTATCACACAAACAAACATGAACAAGCCATAAGTCCAATTCTTATTTCTTGTCTTCTTTTGAGATGTTTATAACCAGGCATATCTAAAGCCAACAAGACTAAATCACGCAACTGGCTGCAGACACCCCAGTCTCTTCAAAATCAAATCTACCAAGTATCCTATTTACATCTACTTAAGAAAGTACGATAAAATCTAGTAATGACAAACAAAAATATATTGTGCTATCAAAGAAAGAATTGACCATAAAAGTGCCTTACTTGGGTTAATATCTGCTTCAATCTGCTCAGATGAACTCCTGGTATGTGATTTAGGATCTTCACTACCATTTGAAATGGTTTCAGAGACATTTCCTTCTTTACTACACATATCACTCTCCATTGATGAATTTATTCTCTCTGGTTCATTCTTGCATACTTTTGCATTTTCAATAGGTGTGAGATCAGAACCATTAGCTTCTATACTAGTACGGACCCCATCATCCCTTTCACTAACTTCAGTTATGTATATAGCAGGAGACGAACCATCATCTGCCTCACCCTCCACCAAAACTCGACGGTTAAATTCAGCAACTGATCCACCATCACCTGATCTTTCTGGTGTACATTGAATATCAGCTTTATCTGAAACTTGAATGCTCAGTGCAGATTTCTCTTCTGTAAAATCAGCTTCTACTCTTGCCCCCAAAGGAGAACCCTCACTTTCTGAGGTATTGTCAACCTCCACGCTGGCAAAATCTAAACAGCTCTTGAACTTATCTTCGTTCTTAGTTCTAGGAGATGTTTCTTCAATTTTACTGCGCAGACAGAGCTCTCTCCCTTGGTGTTCAATACTCTTGTCATCATCATCTTGGTGTGCACACTTTTTATCATCTTCCAAAGCTTCGGGTTGATGAGTGTACTCAACTCCTCCATTTTTCTGCAAATATTTTCCTTGTCCACTAGCTTCAAGTTCATGCATGTCCCCACTTCCTTCACCTTGACAACCACTCTTCCCAAAATCATCACAAGCAACCAAATTATTAATCTCTGTATGCGGATGTTCCCCATTTTCTCTACAAGATCCTGACTTGTGCATGCTGCCAGTGCCCTCATCATGGTATTCTTCGGACTGTTGGATAGCACTCTCAACCCTTCCTTGATCTTGGCATGCATGTTCCTCAATCACAATATGAGCACGGCCCTCTTGTGAAAGAGCATTGTCATTTTCAGAGGAGGTAACAACAGAAGCTGGTATACAGGAGGGGCCCTCTAAATCATTAAGATATTCAGGATCCCATGGAGTCTCACCGACAGTAAAATCCCTACCTTTACCTGGCCCAAGATGAAATTGGGGCGTATCCAATGGCACACTTTCGGAATCATGCTCGGATGATAAGATAGGTGCTGTTAAAATATGACCATCTACACTCACCAAGACCATTTCCGAATCTGAGCCCTGTGCTTCCACAAAATTCTCGACAGCATCCATAGGGTCATACCGGCTAGATCCATACTCAGATGACAAGTCCACTGAATCATCAAATGACTGATCATCTTGAAAATCGTAAAACCTACACGCATCAGAATCATTCCTTTCCAACCGGTTAAAACTAGAATAATCATCCCTTAAAATTCCAGGGTCAGACAAAGTGCTTTGCAGCCTGAAATTTTCGACACTCTCAGTATTACGAAACTGGCTATTATCTACACTATAACTATGCCCTAGGATGCCTTCCCTTTCATCCTTTAACAAGCATTCCTTCTCACTGCTTTCTCCCGGATCAGCTTCTCTAACAAAATAAGCTTCACCTGAATTATCTAGATTCATATGGAAGCTAGCTTCATTGCCGTTCACATTTATTCGTACAACCTTCTCAGCACCTTTTAAAACACCTTGAAATTTACCAAACTGTACATACCAAGGTGTACTCCTAAAACTTCCATCTTGCTGTTGAACAACAATGATATCAACCGCACCGCCGAAAGGATGAAAAGGGGTTGCTACTGAATATACACCTTGGGTTATTAGGCTTCCAACCTTGCCAACCACATTCATGATTTTATGGTTTCAATAATCCTCCACAAGAATGAAAAACTAATGTGTAAAATCTTAACTCTCTTATTATTCTTGTCCAAAAGTTCAATCCAATTGAACTTCTCAAGCAGCCAAATTGATTCATAAATTATTCAATTGAACAAGAATCAAAGAAGCAATGTTCCCTGCAATATAAATTAAAGCTGAAAATCAATTACAACTCAATCAACAATCATTAGATAAAAAAATGCACAAGCAAGAAAAACCCATTGAATTAAAGCTGAAAATCATCTAAAATCAATGCAAAAACAACAAAATCACAAAAAAAAAAAACAAAAATTGCACCAAACCCAGATCAAAAACACCTTGAATCAACCCATTTCTCAATAAAAAGAGATCATCAAAGAAAATATCAAATAATTAAGAATTTAATTGAAATATTGTAAAGGGTATTGGAAACTTACTTGAAAAAGTAGTGATGCAAAAATGATGAATTAATCAGTTTTTTTTTTTTCTGAATATTTGTAGAAGAAGAAAGAACGGAATATTATGGCAGGAAAAAGATTATTCGATCATACGTTGTTCCATGAAAACAAGATTGACTTTAAATCTTATATTTGAAGACTAGTATAGTAGTATGTTCGGATGTTCCGTCCACGAAATTGAAGCAAAATTTTTGTTTGCCTTCTTAAAAAAAAATTAAATAAATTATTAATAACATCATTGGATATACCGCCACTTTTGTGGGATTTTGTTTCAGTAATTTTGAATTACGTAGTATTAAATTAAATATTGTGGTTGGTGGGAGTTTTTTAGGAGTTAGACCCTATGGATAACTATTAAACTACCTACCGCATGGCAGTTAATAGGAAGTAAGATTTTTTTAGGTGCAAAATTAATACAAACTAGATGAAGTCCGTGTGACGTACAGTTTGTTTGAATTTTTTTAAAAATTTTATATATATATATATTCTATTTTTGTGCCACGTACGATGTCCGGTTTGTTTATGAATTTTAACATAAAATTATATTATAATTCAATTTAATTGATTGAAAATAGAATTCTAAATTAATTTTTTTTGTTATAAAGTCTATCTATATTTATCCAACGTGGTACAACATTTGGCGAAAAGTTAAAATGATATATGATGTTGTCTTGTGGCCTAATTATAAGTTTATTATTTGGTATTTTATCGAAAATAAAACTCTAAACTAACCATCTTATTCTAAAATTTTATCCAAATTTGATTGAAAAAAAGAAATTTTAACTAATTTTTTTATCTTATAAATCTATTTAAATTTGTCCAAGGTGGCGCGACAATTGGCGAAAAGTTAGAATGTCAAGTGTCACTATTTCATAACCTGGCTAAAAGTTTAGCTTTATATATTAGTTACTAGTTTTGTGTCAGTGCGATGCCTGGGGTTGTTTATTGAATTTTAAGATAAATTTTTAATTTATATGTCAAATTTTAATATATATATATATATATCAATAATACAAAATTAGTTAGGAATTGATGTGCTTTTGGTACGGTTTGTTATATAGTAGGCATGTAATGACTAATATAATGTTGGTGGAAATGTTCGATTTAATACATAAAAAAAAAAAAGCAAATAATAAATTAATAAATAAATACATGTTCAAAGCCCGTTGGGTTGATCCGAACCCAAAATTTTGGGCAAGGATTGAACATTTCTTGACTTGTAACATGAAGTTAAGTGTATTATTTTAACCGATTAGTATTATGATATAAAAGATAAATTTATATGATAATTTTCGAGAATTATAATCTAATAATTTCTTTTAATAAAATTATAAATCAATTTGTACATCTGAAACATTGGTATTTTATGGAAAATAAAACTCTAAACTAACAATTTTATCCTACAATTATATCCAAATAGAATTCTAGACTAACTTTTTTATCTTATGAAATCTAGTTAAATCTATCCAACGTGGCGCGACACTTGGCAAAAAGTTGGAACGTCAAGTGTCGCTGCCTCGTGACCTGGCTAAAAGTTTAGCTTTATATATTAGTTATATGATATGATTTATGTGCTAAAATTTGTTATATATTTAGGTAAAATTCATGATATCAAAAGATAATATTTTATATTTAATTAATTTAAACAAGGAAAACTCATTCATCAATTTTGCTTACGTGGCATCTAAATTATTTAATTCTTACAGAAATTAATAATCTCGTATTTAATTGGCTACCACTAAAATTTATTATCGTACATGGCGCACTGAAAAAATTAAATCATAAGTGGCTCTCTAAAAACTCGAGAAAAAACCCCCCTTTATATTATATATATATATATATATATATATATATATATATATATATATATATATGTATATATAAGATTAGATTAGATGCTAGTACAATGGGGTCGGATTTTTTTATTTTTTATTTTTTTTTAAGAAAATAAATAAATAAATAAATTTGGTTTAATAATTAGTCTGATTTTCTTTAAATAATTTTAATTTTCGATTATTTTGGAATAATATGACGTTTAGGGTACTATTTCTTTTATCAAGTTAAACCGATCATCAACCTATTGTAAAAAACTACTTGTACAGGTGTCAACACGTGATTGGTCCAAAAAAAATCAAACTACACCACCACCGATTTCCTCCAGCTCCTTAGCCCCAACCCCCATTCCAACCCTCAAACCCCTCCTCCACCCTTAAAAATTGACCTCCCTTATCTTAGATTTTGTTATATACAGCCAGGTGTACTGTACACCCAGAATCATTTGCTTAGTTAATCAACAAATGAGCAAATAATATTTTTACTTATTTATTGATTGCATGAGTAGATGACCCCGGGTGTACAAACTCCACCCCCAACACCACACCCACCCCAAAACCATTCAAAACCCAACCATCCACCTAAAACCTTTCCCCTACCCTTGAACGCTCAACCTTAGCCACCCGAAACCCTTCCCCCACCCTCGAACGCTCATCCTCATTGATACCCTTCCCACACTCTCAAACACCTAGATACCACTTTGTAACACCCTATAAATTTCTTTTCTTTAAAATACCTGTTCCAGGTATGGATCCAAGGGTTCTGCTGGGTGAGTTGGGTCTTGTTGAAAACCTACACAAGGCAACTGTAGGGAATAATTTCAAGCCTTTAAAATCCCACTAGCTTGAACCCCACTATGATCATACACTAAAGTACGGTGGTGTCCAAAAGGGAAGAAGATAGAGCAAAAGAGTCGCCAACAAGTTTTTTAGGAACTTGTAAACCGTTCACGAGGTGAAGGTTACACCCCTTAACGATCCAAGAGATCGTCAACTCCATAAGGTCATGAACCAAATAAGGGTTCGGGGATGAAGGTACAAATCCAACCTAAAAGAGATTGAACCTGCCCTAATAATAGGCCTCTACTTTATTTCTGATCGTATTCATGTGCGCTTTCTGATTAACATGCAATCATTAGGATTAACCCTAAACCTTTTTAATCTATGTTGGTTGAATTTAATGCACAAATAAATCTATTATTGGCGACCACTTGAATTATAATCAAATTAACCCTAAACAAGATTATTAAATATCTTATTAAGCGTGATTACAAGTACCAATTCCCTTTAAACATGCATAAAATGTGTGATCAAGCAATAAATATAAATATCAAGCAACACAATAATAAATATCACGATAATAATCATGAACAATAATTATAATAACAATAAAAATAATCATCATCAGAATAATAACAATAATATTCATAATCATCATAAATTATAACAATTGTAATCATAATCATGTTCATGTTAATATTAAAGAAAAATAATAATAGCAAGATCCTAGGCATGATACTAACAAGATTAATAACAAACCCTAGCATGTCACTAAGCAATAAAAATCAAATCTTTAGCCCTAACATGATACTAACAATCATAAATATTAGGAAGACATAGGAAGCATCGCAACAATCATATTAAATGTTAAAATTACCCTAGACATGATATTAGGAATATCATAATAACAATATAAACATTATCTCTACATCATAACATCAATAAATCAATAAAGTACTTACTTTGATGCCTCGTACCTCTTTCTAATAACAAAATGCACACGTTAGTAACTTCAAGGAAAATAATAAACAAAACAATTAAATCAAATAATTGAAAGAGAGATTTGGGACCAAACCCTCATAAATTAAACCTTTCACGTCTAGGGCGAAGGCAACTTCGAATATGGCTAGGTGTTTCTAGATCTTGAGAATGCGGAATTTTGTATGAAAAACAAAGGTTTAGAAAGAAAGAATGTTTTAAGAGAGATGAATGATTTAGAGAAAGCTAAAGAATTAATGATTGTTGATGAATGATGGATGTAGATGATCTATGGTGAATGATAAATGTAGATGATTAATGGTGAATGAAAACGGAGTTTTTAATACGATATTTATAGAGAATATCAGCCAAAAAAGATAATTTAACAAAAAAGAGTCTGACGCTCAGGAAACAGAGCTGGCGCCAACCCTGGCTAGCTAGCGCCAGGCGCCAATGGCTAGCGCCAGGCGCTAGGCCTGGTTCCAGGCGCCAAGGCCTGGGGTTAGGCGCCAAGCCTGATACCAACGCGTTTTCGAAAATCCGATAAGTTTACGGTACTGGAGGATAAAATAATATAATTTCTTCGAAAATGCTATTTGATTTTGATTAAAACTCTGAAAAGTCAACAAAAGTCAATTTATTAATGCTAATTGAATTAGGAATGAAAAGAACCTTCGAGAAGATTCTAGAAGACTAAAACCATTCCTAATTGCATTAGGAATGATAAATCATATTAGGCCCTCCCCTAGATCATTGGGCCGTACATAAAGCTCAAACCGGGCCCAATTTGGTAAATTGGCCATAACTTCCTCAATATTCATCGGAATTGGGCTTATAATATATCGTTGGAAAGGTCTTTGAAAGCCCCATCCAACTACACTACCCCATTGGACCCATATCATGGACCAACCAAACTGGATTGGCTGTTTTCTTAAAATAAGTTTTCAAAAACAAAGAGAAGAGAAAAGAAATAAAACTTATCCGCAACACTAGACCTGTCCACACTTTCGTTTCATTTGATTATGATTCGACGTGAAAGGTACTCATCACTGGGTTTGGTTTTGGGGAGACACAAATGGGTGTCTACATAAGCCCCCACTTTGACTGAGTTTGGAGAAACGCAAGTTTTGAAAACAAAAGTCAAAGTAACGATGGGGACGGAGAATGATTCAGAACGTTCTGCGATCCAGAATCACTCTTGTAACCCGATACCTGAAAAACTAGCATTAGTTAAACAGATAAAAGAGTTAAGAAACGCGTATCTTGCACCGTCGAGCACACATCACTGAAAGTAACCGATTGTTGCCGCTTTACTGTATTCTTGTCATTTTGATGATCTTCTGCAAGCTAGAGAATGCCATCCCTCTTGAAAACCGCTACGCCTGTAACTGTTTCAAAATTTGGAAGATTGCTTTGCCTGAAACGATCCTCCTTCGCAATGATAATATCCCACATCCTAGGGAATACCATCGAAGATTATTTCTCTTGAAATAATCCTCATCCGCATTGATAATATTCCACATCCTAGGGAATACCATCTTGCTGCTTTGACGTTCTGAACAAAGAGCTTCTTTTTCCTGATGTGATAGTCTTCGAAAATATCAATGCTTTTTAATATTTCTATGCCAGTACGTCGGCGCTTTGCTGCTTGTGAACCAATATGTCG